ACATTTTTTATAATAACATTATTTATCCCACTCCAACCGAGATCAAGAAAATCCTTTTCGACAATCACGATATTCCAATAGCCGGTCACTAGGGTTCTACCCGTATGTACAACAGAATTAAACAGATGTTTTATTGGAAGGGAATGCGTGGCGATATCTAATCCCATGTGAATCAGTGCAAATACTGCCAAGAAAATAAAGCCCTTAGAAAAACAAATCGTGCCCCTATGCAGATAACTAGTAGCTCAACCGAACCGTGGCAACGTATATCTCTTGACATAGTCGGCCCATTACCTGAAGCAGGGCTCGCCAAACTCATATTTATTTTAAAAATACAAGACGTCCTCACAAAATTCTCCTCTACCTATCCAATTCGAAATACTACAGCAGAAAAAACTAGCGGATGTCTAATACACTATATATCCATCTTTGGTATTCCAAAAACGATCCTCACAGATCAGGGAACCAACTTCACTTCAGAGCTGTTAAAGAAAACTTGCCAATTCCTGAAGAAATCTTAATAGCTGTTGACATTTCGCACATATTAGGAATATAGAAACCAGTTTGGAAATAACAAAGCTTCTATGCAGTCAAATATCCATAGTAGAAGTTGACACAGAATGTAATAGTAGATTACAACCACTGTCAGTGCGATACCAAGCTATGAACAGAGAATTCGGTTCCATTTTACATCTGATAGAGAACCGACAAAAATGAAGTGCTTGGATAGGAGATATAGACACACTCCTAAAACAGATTATTGGCACCTTAAATGAGGCTGACGCTTTAAAATATGACGAAGCTATAAAGTTACTTCAAGATGATAGTAAACCGTTAACTACATTTATGAAAGAAAATATTTTAGTTACAACTTCTGTAATAACCTCCTTTAATAAAAACTATCAATTAAATCACAGATCATGAAGCTACACTAAAAGAAGCTATCAACAACCTCTCGTATTCTATAAAAAAATATTACGGAAATGATAAATGGATTACAAATACTCGCGAATGTTAATCAGATTCTTAACATGTTAGAACCGTCAATAATCATATCGTCCTTTCAATTAGAAGACATTATTAATGCTATATTATTTAGCAACCAAAACACCATACATCCCTCCATAATAACCCCAAGTCAATTATACCGAGAGCTTGCCGATCACCTGTCACCTGGCTGGTGACCTCGAGTTGCCTGTAATGTTAAATATTAATTCCATATATTTAATTTTAAGGATATCTAAGTTAGTTTGTTATTATATAGATAATAAGATAGTATTTGTTCTCCGATTGCCGTTGGTGAACAGCAAAGATTATATGTTATATCATAATATTGCTCTTCCCACACCGCATAACACTAAAGAGCCAAATTAATTTAGTTTAATTACTCCAGGAAATAAATATATTGCAATGACCAAGGACAAATCTCACTATTGTGTTTATAATAAATTTAAAAGATTGTAAAACTGTTAGCCCAGGAACCTTTATTAGTGATATTGAAAACGTGTATGCGACCGCTGCTAAACCGATTTGTGAAAGTGAACTATTAGCAAAAGTGATAAGTGTAAAACCGTTACAGTGTGAAACGAAAAGTGTGTATGGAAATTTGGAAACTACTAACAAACAATAAGTGGATTTATATCCAATCCGAACCTAACAAACTTTCTATTGACTGTTTAAACTCGAGTTTGTATGAAACAAATATTCTAGGCACAGGTATAATCACAATTCCATCATATTGTATTGGATATTGTAAAAGTACTACATTACTTCCTAGATACGCTTTAAATATTACGTCGCCTATTAACCATTTTCCAAAATTTTAACCTAACCAACGACACTTGTTGTAACATGTATAGTATAAATAAATTAGTGAATAATGTGTCCCCTATTAGATTACAGAACATCTTTTCTGATTATTATTTTGGACATTTAAAGTGTATCTAGGAAGTAAAAGTACTACATTACTTCCTAGATACGCTTTAAATATTACGTCGCCTATTAACCATTTTCCAAAATTTTAACCTAACCAACGACACTTGTTGTAACATGTATAGTATAAATAAATTAGTGAATAATGTGTCCCCTATTAGATTACAGAACATCTTTTCTGATTATTATTTTGGACGATTTTAATTTAGAAAGCAAATTATTAACGAAATCTTTATCCGAATTGGAAAGTAATAAAAACACACCTACACTACACATTTTTAAATATGGGACACATTACTCTATATTTACTATTTTACTTTAGTTGTATTTCTTTTTTCTATTTTATTTATAAGAAAATATCTACCTCAAGTCTCCTCTTAAAGGGGGAGATGTTATACCCTTCTGTAGCTAGGCTTATAGCAAATAGTAGGGGAGCCGAAGCGGGGATTTCGGGATTTACTAAAGCGCGGCAGATTAATATAAAGGGGGATACCTTGTACCCGGTTAAGTACCTGGACCAAGTATGAGCCCTATAAAAATGGCCGCCCGGCAAAGACGAAGGATCAGATTAGTAAAAAAAAATTGATCATCTGAAAATCTCGAGCGCGTCAGATTAAGGTAAGGTGAGCTAGTTACATGTTAAAAGGTGTACATACCTCTAATCTGACAATTTGAGAGTGACGTAAAGAAGGGGGAAGGCTAAATAGTTGTAAAAAAAAACGTCACTTTGACATTCTCGAGCGTGGCTAATTTTTTTTTATTTTGAATTCGAATTTGAATTCATTCAAGGATTACGAAAAATATATAATCTGATATTGTAACAAGCCGAAGTAATAAAAATTCATCGATAACATTTAATGCGTTTAAGCTACGTGATACCTATATTTCCTTCTCCGCATCACTATTTCTCTCTCTTTTTCTGTCTATTACTCTCTCATTCCATCCCCACTCTGGTTTCGGTTGCCATGACGCCATGACAACTGATGACACAGACTCGTTCGTGGCGTGATATTGTTTACATCGTATTTCCAACGTTTTTGCTTATTTTGTTATTTTAAGAGAAGAAGAGGAAGATGATTCTAGCGATGAAGATGATAATTAATAAAAAATACTGTAAAAATTAAATTTTCATATAATCATTTTCTTATAAATATAAGTATTTTACATAAAAAAAACATACACTTCTTTATTTGCATGCTAACTCCGGTGCTTTTCTATTTAATTAAGCTCAATGATTTGAAAAAATTAAAAAAAAAAAAAAAATTCTGTCAGTTTAAGTAAATCCCTTCAGATAATCGTCAGATTATGAGATATCACATCTGGGGCATAAAGATGAACCATATATATCTTAATCTGACGCGCTTGAGTATTTCAAAATGGCGATTTTTTTTTGCACGTTCTAATAATGGTTACGCGTTTGCATCACATCCAAATCGTCAGATTATTATATGAGAGCTTTTTTTAGGTTCACTTGACATCCCCTCAAAAAATCTGACGCGCTCGATTAAATAATTTTTTTTTTCATTTTCAACCCTTACGTATAACCACCCCCATCATGGAAACGATCAGATTAACATACGACAGTTTTTAAAAATGCGTAGGACATGGATGATATTAATATCTGACGCGCTCGAGTATGTCCATACAACAGTTTTTTTTTACATTTTTAAAAATCTTTAGCCGCTTCCCCCACCGATGAAAAGGTATATATTATATGAAATTTTTTTTTTGTTATCATCTAAGCTTCGCAACCCAATAGGTCTCTATGACGCTCGAGTAAATCCCGATTTAGCATCGTGGGCTCCCCTACTAAAATGCCAAGCATAGTCAGCAGTCTCTTCTCAAAGCTTCTTTAGTAGTACTTAAATATTAGTTCGGTCTGATTTCAATACCCCTGATCGGCCTGATTTAAAAAAAAAAAAAAAAAATACCCATCCAGGGCGGTTGTCTAGGATCCCTTAATCCTCGCATATATAGATATAATAGATAAATCGTCGCGAGTGAAATATTTGTTTCTTTTTTTAAAAAGCCTTTTCGGCAATCCCGTATGACAGTTCCATATATTTCCTATGTCACTTACTACGTATTTATAAGCAGAGAATATTTTTAAAATGTCATAACCACATAACAATATTTTAAAATAATTTTATAATAAAGCCGTTGAAATAAATCGATTAAACAAAAAATCATAGCTATAGTTATGGATTACTACGTGTTTGCTTTCTAAAGTCGACATATATGTCGTGGGCTTCAATCCATAGACTTACTTTTAAGGAGACATGAAAATAAACATAACTGTCTGTCATATGAGAAAAAGTGTTTCACTTATATCCTTTTATTAGAAAAGATTGGCTTGAAACCTGTAATATACTCTGTGCCCGCGATATGCATAATTTATAATAACGACGAACGACAAATACAATAAATATTAATGGGTTTTTCAGATTCAACATCATTTGAATATACCAGACCTTGAAAAGTGTAATTGTATCGTATTATCTATACAGAACATTTTTTCACCATTTCACCAAGTGCACTTATATACACGCCTTCATGTACCGTTTAGTACCAATAGTTAATAGAACATTTTACATAGCATCAGCATCCGGGTGCAGTAGGTATATCATAAGAACAACATGTTTGTAAATATCTTTTCTGATTATAATGTTTAACGTAAACAGGAAAAAAAACCAGAGGTACAAATGTGAATATAAATGTATTATCAAATTTTCCTTTATTATAAGAATGGGGATGGTGACATTTTTTGTCTGCCCGTCGGGTAGATAAAAGAAGAATACTAAACACGTTTTTTTTTAATTTTTTTTGCGTATCGATTAATAACGGCAATACACTAAGTGGAAATGTCGCATGAGTTCGCCTTTTTGCATGTCTTTGTACATTTTCTCCATAGTTGTGACGTAGCGAACCCTCACTCCTTAACTTTAATGCCTTTTATATAAGCCATTTCTTATAAAATTTAACCAAAAAAAATACGTGCCCAATATTTTTCCACTACATGACTGACGGACTAAATAGAATTTCTTTTTTTTACCCATTACAGACAAAACTTCTATATCACTGTCATGAAGAAGATCAGACCCTGTTATAAGGAAGACGATTGTGGCTGCCCTCGAATCTCAAAATCAAACTTGTAACTTGGCGGCAATGGAAAGACAAGAGGTTGCATTACATAGATAGACATGAAATTGGCACCGATCCCACCATCCATCAGTGCCCATGTCGCTACTCCAGCTGTCCGTGTGATAGTGAATGCTGTGATGACGTAGTCTTCCTGAATACCCAACCTTATGGTTCTTGAAAACCATCCATTGAAATAGCCGCTGTAAAATAAACAAAACAAAAATTTACTAGCTAACTAGCGAACTTCATATTGCTTAATAATTTATCATCATCATCAGCCTTTCAATGCCTCTACTGCAGAGGTAAGAGTGCAATAAGAGTCGATTTCATCCATAGGCCTTCCCTATGGATGAACTCGACTCTTATTGAATAGGAAGAATGAGCAATCCTTCGAAAGAGCCGCTGTGCAATTATTAAAAGACAAATTTACTTGCTAACTCGCGTACTTCATAAAGCTCAGTAATTAATTATTATCCTTTCAAAATTCCTTAGAAACCACGCGGGTGAAACCGCTGGCGGTAAGTTAGTTAAATATATATTTGGATCAGTAAATAGCTGTTATACTTAGAGGACGCAAGATATTAAATTTTATGCTCAATAGTTATTTTGAAATGGCATTCAGCTATTTTCTCTCTCTCTAGCTCTCATATATAAAAATGTATTTCTGTGGCCAAAATGGAAATCTAAAATGAAACTTGCTGAAAAATACTACGGTAAAAATACAATATCTTGTAACTTCTAAACCTAGTCAGTATCTGCAAGACTAGCACAAGTGCATAATCAACAATACCTAAATCTTGCAAGCAACACCTCTACACTATAATATAACTTTCGGTTCTCTATACACGAACACTTTCCACAAATCAAGCTCAAGAGTTGTTAGATCTACTAATAATTTCAATGTTATGCCAATGGACTTCCACAAGGAAGCCCCTGATATTAATAAATATCTTGATGCCTTAATCATATATATCATTCCAAGTCAGTAAGTGTGCTTGAATTGGATACATCTATTACCACGAGAATCACGTATCAATAAATATTACTTACGACTGTACAACTCTGTCCTCTCTAGTTTGCACGTCTTGTACTGAGACAGGGTTAGCGGCAACCAGAGCAGACACCAACAACACCGACAATAGAACAAACAGTTTCATCTGAAAATTATAAAGATATATTTCAGCTTTACCTAAACTTACCTAGCTAGCTTTACCCTTCTACAAGATAATTTAAAAATCACACTATTAGAAGATATAATCGTGGGAATTATTCGAATTTACTTTCTAATTAAATAAGCCTTTTTGGATATTATATTAACAAGAATCTTGTATAAAATCAAACTAGTCCAAATAAACATAGATAATATAACTTTCGGTTCTATCATCAGTCCCTAGACCTAAGAATAAAAAATTTAAATATAAATAAAAAATATATAAATCATCAAAATTGTGATAGGATTTATTTAATGAAATAAGAAATTAATAAAATTTTAAACGATAACACTCACCTTTATTAGTACTATATCTGTAACAGATAAACACTATGTTGTTGCTTTGAATTTATACAAGCCTTTATATATATGGCCAGGGAGATATGAATCGAATATGATAATTAGATATACAGTTGCTAAGAGAGAATCTGATTATTTAAGTATTGCATATAATCGTATTAGCAATCATTAAGAGGGCGGATATACTTTTTTTTGCGCACATCCATTCTGGTATCCGGATTGTAGGACACTCAGAGCTTTTTATTTGTTCTCATTGTAATATAACTGTTTAACTGAAAATAGCTATGTGCTTTTTTTTGTTTCTTTGTCTTTGATATCAATCGTGAAATTAAAAGGGTCTAAGAGATATGCTTAAATTTATTTTTAATATATTTTAGTATATATGAACTATTTTTGGGTTGTTTTGTGCAATACTCATGACTTCAGTAGTTATTGACTAAATCTTTATTGAGCTAGTAGCTGTGCCCGCGACTTCGTCTGCGTGGGAAGTATTTTGGTAGAATTCTTTTTTTCCTATGAATGCAGACGAATCGAATAAGATCAATGGGCCATAACCCACTACGCGGGCTTAATGCGGATCGGTGGGTGTTAACATTGCTGATGCAGCCAGGACTAACGGCTTAAGCATTATGCCAGTGTTGTGCACAGTGCTCAAAATAATAATGTTTTGGTCACCCATCCTGTAAACGGTCCTTACAAATGTTATTTATTTATTTTTTTCTCGTTTCTCGCGCTCTGGTTGTTGCTTGTGTCTGAGCATTTTATTCGTACCCTTAAACGGTCCTTCTTTTGTTTTTGATCTTTTTAAATTATTATTATTTGTATGCACAATCGGCTATTTATTGTTCAATTTTTCATGTAATGCTAGTTTACCTGGAAGAAATCGCTGGCTAGCGATGAGTTTGTTGTTTGTACTTATTTATGTAAAATAAGTATTCATGTATGTCCTTGTTGTGCAGTATTTACTTACTTATTTAACTGCAATTTAAACCGAATGCGCAAACCCACTACGCCATCGGACCCCTTATACCTAAGCTATACTATTATTATAAAGAGTAATGACTTGGTTGTTAGTTTGTTTGCATCGAATTTGCTCCAATACTATTGGACCGATAATTGCAGAGCGATTCCGACCTACGGGAAGCTACATGAGACGCGCATGTCATAGGCTATAATTTTGCGGCAAAGTCGTGGGAAAATAGCTAGTTCATTATACCTTGTGAAAACTTATCTGCGGTACGCCTGTGGAGTATGAAGTCAACACGGGTTGGCGATAATCGAAACTACTTTCTCGATCTCTATTGTGCAAACTGCGAGCTCTTTAAGAGACCAAGCGCATTTCTCTATCAAAATAAGTTTCATACTCATACCATACTGCTTGTATGTAAATGCTTCAGATTCAACTTTATAGTGCATGAGCCTCGCGATAGGCAGTTATATACGCTTCACGTTTTTCAGGTGTCTCCTCAGACCAAGCGCTTTCGGTCCGATCACTTTCTTTGTCAATAAAAGTCGGTCGGTACATGTACTGACGGAAGATATTTGGAGTTTTATTTATTGTTATAAAAAAAATATATACATATTTTAATTTCGACTTTCCACACTCGAAGGAAATCGTCTACTAATATACTTCCGTGAGGTGCTTAACTGAGTTTCTGTCAGATTTGAATGGCCCTCATCATCATCATTATCAGCCCTTTTACGTCACAAACTGCAGGAGCACAGGCTTTCCTTATGGATGGTTTAAGAGTATGGGTCACGACGCTCCATGCGGGCCCAATGTGGATTGGAGGATATTAACGACTGCAAATACAACCGGCACCAATCGCTTTACGTGCTTTCCGAAGCTTGGAGTTGCTTGAGATAATATTTTTTGGTCATCCATCCTGTGCCCGACCTTTGCGAAAGTTGCTTAACAACAACAATCGCGGGCCTTGGCGCTTATTCACTACGCCACCGAGCTACTCTGAACCGACCCTCAGACTCGCGTAATATTATATGAGTGTTGTGTGTGACCAATGAATAAAGCATTGTTTCCAGCGAAGACTGAAAATACCAACTTTGAAGCACGTATCTATAGCAATTTGTATGTTAAAAAAAAAACAAAAAGAGTATTAACATAAAAAAATAGCAATAAGCAGTTGACGTGAATCTAAGTTTTTTAACGTCGTGGAAAAACTTCTGACATTGTCTCTGTTACCTGGCAAGCAACAGGGGTGAGTAGGATTCTCCTCCTTGAACCCGACAGTGAGCTGCCCGGTGGGTCCCCAGAGGCCTACCCACTAAAACCCGTACTCTACACCTTCTCATGGGAAATGAAAACCGGCAAGCTATGGTCGAGTCACTAGGACACTCAAGTATTGGACCATTGGTCCCCTTGCAGATGGAAAATTGGAGAGACTCGGGTAAATAGAGTGCCTCTCCCAGACGGACGAAACCGTGTAATGCGGGAGCGGCTGCCAACCACCTCCGCTGGCCCGACGACGACGTGAACCTAATCTGATAAAAATATGCGTTCATTGTAAACTACTCAAGGCTTAATTGCATCATCAGAAAGCTCTTTCCGGTTGTTCTCCTACTCGCGTGATCGTATACCACATGTCCATTATAAGCTGAACCCTATTTAATATGATTGGCCATATACATATTATAAATGAGGTCAACTTACTTCGGAGTTGTCAAAATTTTGGAATCTAATTTTTTATTTGTCATCATACAAATTATCATTTTATAGACAATATTAATTCGTAGCTCAGTGGCGCTACGGATATGCGCCGCTGCGCACGATCGCTATTGCTAAGCAATTTTCGCAAAAGTTGTTTACGGGATGGGTGACCAAAAATTATTAAACAAAGGCCTGAGGCCCTGCAGTTTGGCTGTGAAAGAGTTAATGATGATGATCAATATATCAAAAACGAAAATTTAAATCGGTTCAGCCGTTTCTGAGATTATCGAGCACAAGCGCACAGACAAACAGCCAATCAGACAAAAAAAAATTGTTTTGTGTTCTATTACTCTCATAAATGTCCCTCATTATAGTTTTTTTCATATATCTTCAATGTACAGACATCGATCGGTTACGTTTTTATTATAGTATAGATTGACTAGCCCGTAGATTTATTATGATTTTTTCTTTGTCTTAATGCGTAGTCTTAAGTCACACTCGATCACCATGTCGCAATTATTCCTAATCTTTCTGTATTATTCATTTGTTTGTGACGACGAGTACTATCAGCGCAATGAAAAATTTATTTATCAATAATATGCATATTTTAAATATTTGAATAAAATGCTTTTGTGGAATGATAGAAAAAGTAAACTGCAGAATCAAGATAAAAAAAAATCATATCTTTACAGCAAAACCCATATAAGTACATTGTTATTGACTCGATTTCACAGACCATGCGTTCCAATTCCGACGATTACTGAATATATTATTGAAATGTATTATCAGACTCGTTTTGATAATGGTTAATTGTAAAATACAACGTTTGGAACTTGCGCGTAGATCATCCTATTACCTCTTCTTACTACCTCTATCGATCTGATTGACCAGGAAAACGTTAAATAACGGTGAACGGCAAGTTAACCGTTATTTAACCCCTTGCCAGTTGTACATCGGTCAGCTATATTAGCTGTGTTATTGCATTATGGGTCATTGGCAATACTTTAAAAAGTAGACATTTTTTT